CCCTTTCCCAATGCAGAAAAGCAGTCTTCAGCAATCCAGCTAATGGAAGACCAAAACATGCTCTGTGTCAAGCCTGTGCGTGAGTTGTGTGTTGGATGCTGGCCAGAGTATTTGATGCATCATATAATACGGCTTTTTTACATAGTTCACTTTTTATCCCTCAGTTTTGAGGCCAGCTGTGGTGAAGGTTGTACTTGGGTATTTTTTGTGATCAACATCTTTGAGAGGTGTGCTTGCCTCTTTCTTTTCTCAAAGGTGACATGCAAGAGATGACAAGAATTGCTTCTTGCTTCTGACCTCCTTTTGGGACGGCTGTAATTTGAACATGCTAGGTACCCAGTTGTCAATATAAACATTGTTATTTGTTAGGGAGAATTTGTGGCTGGGCTGGTATCATTTCTTGTCTTCAGGGCACTTCTCTTTCTAAATTGTAACACAAAAAGCCAACATCTATATGTGGTCTATTGAGTTGAAATGGTATCTCATGCACACAAAAAAAAGTTGTGTGTTGTGGCATCAATATGATAATGTTACAACAAAAAGTTGATTTTGAAATTAATATCTAAGTATGCTGGAACTAACTGAGCTGTTTTCCTTAAACTTTATATGTTAGTTTTCTTAGAACACTGAGATGATATGGACATGTTCCTGCAAAGCACTTCATTCTGGGCCAATTATTCTCACTTCATTTTTTTCTTTAACCAGACCATTTGTAGTTCGGGGGAACAAAAGCACCCCTTGCTTCAGCGCCAAGCTGTGGCTCTCTGTTAATCACCTCTATCATTTCATTTGAACTGGTGTGACCAGCCTGGTGCTGAAGTATGACAACCTGCAGTTCCCCGATGTTGCTACTGTATGAAAAGGAACAGCCAGCATCAACTCTGGAAAAGCCACTGCGGGAATTCACCAGGAGCTATTCCTGTTTCAGCAGGGCATGCCCCACTGTCTGTTAACGCAGGACAGGATAACCTGGCCCAGAAATTACTCCCCTGCCTTGACCCTAAAGACGAGTCCTTGAACAGAGCCTCTGTGTGCTTGCAGTAGAACCTCCTTAAGAGAGAAGAAAGGGGAGGAGAAAGCGTGGCTCCCTGGCTATAGCTACTCCACCTCCCGGTTATTTCATCTTCCTTACAAGGCCAAAGCTAGCAGCTTTCCTCTGCGCCTGGGTGCCTCAAAAGCAGCAGAGCAAGCCCGGAGGATCCCGGTGGAGTGCAGTTGGGTGCGAGGCTGACAGGGACGGCAAAGGAAGCACTGATGTGAACCCTGCAGAACGTAAGACGGAGAAGGCTGAGTGTCTTCAGAGAAGTGTGACAGTATCCTGTGAATGCTAAACCAGGTATTCATTGATGCAGCTCTTCCAAAGAAACATGAAAGCAAACCCAAAAATAAATCACTGAGGGGGGAAAAGTGCAGTGTGAGAGGTAAATATATTTTTCACTGGCAGAAACAAAAATAACTGATTTTATTTTGTTTGAAAATCTCTGTTTTAAGTAGATGTCTAAAACTGGGGACTGAAAAATACATTTACTAACAACTGAATAAAAACTGGTCTGACTCTGGCTTCAAAGGCAGAGCTGGGTAAAAAAGTCTGATCAACAAATGAATTCAGGTGACTGAAAATTCTGCACTTTCTCTTTAGGCATTTGCACATTAAAACTTCTTTAAAATCTGCTTTTCCGTTTGTTCTCTCTGCTATTGCTGAAGGTTTTTGAGAAATAGTGTGCATGTTGCAAATGCTCCTATACCCTTGTTCTCGCAATAGTGCATTTCTTCAGAAAGATCCATGACCTACTGAGCTGGAATTCTGACATCTGGTTGAGGTTACCAGAGCTGGTATTTGGGATTCAGGGTTGGTTGGTTGGTTTTTTTTTTTTTTCCAGTTTAATTGAAACAAGCTGAGATTGTCTACATGTTCTATGAATTGTTTCCACGCTCTGACCATCCAGTATCTCTGAATGGTAATTCTAGGACTGCTGAATCTGAACTGGAAAAGAGGAAACACCTTGACAGTTCAAAACTGCAGCCCTTCTGTGCGTTGCTGGCAGTGAGAGTGGCTGAAAGATGGAAGACTTTGCCCTTTGTCTGTAAGATGCTCTGAGACAGTTGTTCAGCAAATATGATACTAAGTTTAGCATAACCATAAGGTGCAATACTTGGGTTTTTGATTTACATCTTTGCAACACTAGAGGACTCACAGATTCTTTTATTCACCAGGTGAAATGAGACCAAGAGACCAGAGGATCACACACCTCCTGCAGATTCTCATCTAAGGCATCAGCTCAGCCTTCCAACCAGTGTATGCAGAGGTTTAGGTTCATCAGCCACGGTTTAGTTTCAGCAGCCAAGGATGGAAGTGCTACGCCGTTCCTCAGTCTTTGCTGCAGAGGTGATGGAGGTTTTCGACAGGTCTCCCACTGACAAGGAGCTCGTGTCCCAGGCCAAGGCTCTCTGCAGAGACTACATCAATTCCAGGCTAATTCGAGCAGGTGTGAGCTGGAGCAAACCTGAGCACAATGCACCAGTGCCTGGTGGTAAGCTGGCCGAGGTGTCCACCATACTGCTGCGGTTGGGTAAGTCCCTGCAGGTAGGGGTGGGAACTGAAACTATACGGAACAATTCAGACCAGGCTAAGGTTTCTTGAACTGATGAGTGCCAAGAGACTTTTCATGTGGTGATACACAGGTTTTTCTTCTCTGCTTTGGGCATTTAGATTTGGTTTTGGTGATATTCCCTAAACAGCTCGTTTACTTAGATTTCATCAGTCCCTTGGAGCACAGCTCAGTGCAGTGTTTCTGCAGAGCTACTTTTTTCTGAGGATTTGGAACAACTTAAAAGCATGATGTAGTCCAATAAAGCCCCACAGCAAACTAATTTTATCTGCACAAGACTCCAGCTGTGAAGCAGTTCTCACAGGAGTTTCAGTAGTCTTTCTCAGCTTGGCATTTTAACAGGTCTTGCAGTGTTTTCTCCAGATGGACTTGTCTGCCGTGACAACCAAAACTTGCATCTAGTAGAGTACTGCTACCTCTGGGGGCATCATCAGTTGCTTGCCCAGCTGCAATGACATTTAATTTGAGGGTAGTTGCTTAGGCCATGTGTGTTGAAGATCTTACAGAAGCTGCTTCTCAATGACAGTAGGATGACAGTGTGCTTAATTTTCCTTTGCCTGCCTTAATTGTGTAGCAAGACATGAGTTTTCTTGCTGCTTTTTGGAGTTGGCTGATGTTGCCTGTCATACACTGCCATTCAGTGCCCAAACTAGCCAGCCCCTGTCATGGACAGGTGACTAGCCAGGGTGCAGGAGGAGCAATTTGAAGGTTATGCCTGTAGGCTGCTACCTGAAGACGTGCTCTGGAGTTGTGTTTGCAACAGCAGCACCTACTAAATGCTGACAGTTGCCTGGCCTTTTGCTTTAGGTGTTAGCCTCCTGTGTGCTCGAGTCTAGCTGTTTGTCTTTTGGGATGCTGACACCCTCATTCTTGTAAGTTGCTTCTAACATCCCTCTTTGCCTGCAGGCTAGTAAATTAGTTCACATCTGGCTTGGAAACTACCAATAGCATTTGCATCTGATTTAATCACACTGAAGTTCAAATAAGTCTGGTGAAGTAACCTTTTGCTGGGCTTAACAAACTCAGGATCAGGCTGATCTCCTCACTTTCTCCCCTTTCTTACTACTTCTGTTTATTACCTCCATTTTTATTTTTTTTAAGGTAACTTCTTTTTCTTTTATTCTTTTTCACCTTTTCTCTCCTATGCTGACTTTAGTTCTATTTTTGTTTCCATTGGTTTTTTGGTCTTTGGGGGTTTTTTTTGTTCTTCTGTCAATTCCCCTGCCTCTTTGAACTCCATTTCTTCTCTGCCCTGGGTTGGGGGTTGAGATATGTTTGCACAGATCTTTTGTGGGTGGCCAGGAACATGTTAAAGGGCAAGCAGGTGGCAGACTGGATCTGAAGGCGTCTTCTGGATGACTCTCCTGTTACTTACTCGTGTCCAGATGGAAAGATTTGGCTGACAGTCCCAGGAACTTGGCACCTTCTCTGAGCAAATCTGTGGTACCCATGCAACAAGGGTGAGCAGTCTTTCTTACTGGGATGAAGAGTTGTTTTCATCCTGTTTGTTCAGAAGCTCTGGCTGCCACATGGCCTGTGTCTTTCTTTTCCGCTTTGCTGCTATAACGAGTACAAGTCCAAGTGGTACCCAGCCACCTGCCAGGAATGGTAGTCCTTAGCTGCTTACTAAGCAGTGCAACAAGCCAGGCTAGATTTTGGTCAGTGATAGTGCTGAGAAGCCCTTGGAATTGACAAGTTGGAGTATTTCCTAGCCCTCTTTAACACAGAGAGTCTGATGAACTGACTGGTGGGTGAGCAGAGGTGCTGCGCACAGGTGATGTAGTTGCAGTCTTGGGAAACGAGAGCCCATCAGCTCAGTGAGGCTTAGCAGCTAACTAGCGCAATTGAGTCAGAGGTGGTAAAACCTAAAGGTATGGCCAAAGAGACACTCCAGACTAACCTGCCATGGGTGTCAGAGATCTGGTTTATTTGAACTTCTCTCTCCTCTGGCCACGGCCCAAACAAGTGCCCTGTTACCGCTGAATTGAGCTTCTGCACATGAGAATTGTCACTGCTGTCCTGCCTGTTCCTCCATAGTTCCTGGAGGAAGGAGGAGAAGCACAGAAATTGCTCTGGATGTTGCAAAGTGTACAGTCAGGCATTGGAACATGGATACCAAGGACTGCCACCAATATAAGGTGCTGCTGGAGAGGACCTGGGGCCGCCAGGGCAGGCAATCTCCCTGAGCCTGGGACTGCTTTCCAGTGCTTTTCTGCAGTAAAAGCTCTTGCCTGCCCTGTGCATTGCTGCAGGGCAGGGCCCACTTTAACAACATGTGTGCCTCCAACCAAAACCTGATCTCATCTGTGGCCTCCAGGCACTGCTTGTTAGAAGCTGTAATGGTGGCAGACTACCAAGTGCTGATCCCACCCTCCCGTGCCTCCACCTCTGCTAACCACAGGCAGTGCTATCCTTATTTCCTTGCATTTACCAGGAAGCCTGTGTGCTCCCTGCAAGAGAAAACAGCTGTTGAGTAATGCAACTAAGGTTTTCACATATCAGGACTGACCATATGTTGGCAGGGTTTCCTCTTATCATCAGATTGTGTGAGACAATCCCACATGCACAAAGGGCCTGGAGAACTCGCCTGGTCTTTGCCTATGCTGTGCTAGGTGCCAGTTAAATGACTTAAGGATCCACAGCTAATGACTCTGTAACAAGTTCCTGACTGGGGTAGCATATGCCTTTTTGATTCCCACAAAAATGATATTTTCAGGAGGATCTGTTTGCCATCTGACTGGGGCAAGTCATCTGGGTCTTGCAGGAGATGTAAAGCTGTTGTGTCAGTTCTGCTCTTCCCTGGGTGCTCTACAGCACCCTTGTGCAGAAAGTCATAGAGTGTCCTTCTAAATCAATAACAGATAGGACTCTCCACACAAAAAGGGCCTTGGTCCCATGCAATGTATGCATTGTGTTGTGCTCCTACAGCAGCTGTGCAACCCTCATTAAATGTCTGTGAAACCCTATAGACAGATAAACCCATTGGAAAATGGGCTCTATTAATTCTACTGCTCAAAAATGGTTTGTTTTGCCACAGAGGAAAAGTTTTACTGCTGTTGCCCAAGCTCCATAGCTCAAACCTGTGAGAGGGGGTTCTCTGCTTGTCCTTGGTATTTCCATCTTGGTCTTCAAGCCAGCCTAACACCTCCAACCATTTCCCAGCTGGAGAGAAACAACCTAGAGGTGAAAGCATGTGTCTCTGTGTGTTGGGAGCCTTGTTGCTGAGGAGAGATCCAGGGAAAAGAACATCTCTTTAACTATTTGGAGGAGAGAAAGACCTCCAGATCATCACTCAGTGACTTTGTGAGAGTAAAACAGCTGAGCTGAAAGTCTCTGCACAATTACTGTCATGCAGCTGGGTGGATCTTTGACTTTCATCAGCCTCCAGCATTTTTGAGTCACTCTCATCTTAAGGCTTTTTTGTACGAGTCTGATGGGGTGCTGAGAATGGGTGTATCTCTCAAAAGCTTACATAGATGTACATGCCTCCTTTCCACTTCTGAAGAAAAATGAGTTGGCTTTGCTTATCTGAGGCCTGTCTCCTGCATTGGAGAAAAGTCAAGCGGCCTGGGAACATGCAGGTACACCACTGGTATAGGGCTACTGCCTGTCCCCACTCCCTTTGGAACTCCCAAGCACAGGGGATATTAGGAGAGCAGGCTGCAGGTGCCACGGGTTGCATTTAAATGACCCTAAGCTCTCTGCTGCCTGCTTAAACTAAGGTGGAGCTGGGGTTAAGTGTCTTTGGCTGAAGGGATATGTGAGGTGACCCCAGCTGTAATTCCTGTGTGGTGAGAGCAGGACTTGGTGTTCCGCATGCTGAATCCTGACCATTTGTTTCCAGGGGATGAGCTGGAATATATTCGCCCCAACGTCTACCGGAATATTGCCCGCCAACTGAACATCTCCCTGCACTCGGAGACGGTGGTGACAGATGCCTTCCTCGCAGTGGCAGCACAGATTTTCACGGCAGGTACTGTGCCCTGACAGATACATAGACAGGGCTGGGTGGAAGGGAACAGGGTGGAGCCACCTCTCTCAGAGAAGACATGTTTCTGGGATAGCCTGCAAGGTGGGGCCTGGTTTCTGAAAGGGCAGTTTGGCAGTGTGCCCTGCTTTAATGATTTAATGAGAGCTCCACTATGCTTTGTTGTTCTGGCAGGGAAAAGCCCTGTTTTATTATATCCGCCTGGCAGGTTCTCGCTCATTCTAGAAGACATCTCCTGCCCTTCCTTGTTAGGAGGTGGTGTTACCTTATTGCACAGGGAGGCCAGTCATTCTAGCCTCCTTTGCTCATCATTGGCAACAGGAGAAGATTCATTACATGGGAGTCTCCCTTGTTCCAGCTCACAGTGCTGATGCTAGGAGCCAGAACCAACTCATCGCAAGGGAGTTCCTCTCTTTCTGGCTTCCTTTCCCACAGCAACAGCCAGAACTGCAATGAGCCTGCTGCTTCCACTTGCTGCTTCTCCTTTCTGACACTCAAAGGGTCCTGGCCCTTAAGGCTAGCTGTTCCAGATAAGCACGTGCTTTGTCTTTCTCACTGTTTGGATGTGAATATTCCTCTGCTTCTTTTTGACTGGTGTCAGAGATGATTGTCAAAAGCAAGGATACGCTCTGTGCCGTGTTCCTTCAAGGGAGCCTCAGCCTCCCCTGAAAGCAGTCCCTGCCTGCGACTGGGAATGCAGTCAGTGGGAATCAAGGGAAGAGAAACGTTTTACATAGAGATTCATGTCATGCAAGTCCTGAAATGGTTTGTAGGCTTTCTTCAATGTCTTCTTGTGTTGTCTGTGGAAGGGACAATAGATGTTACAGACTAGAAACTAAACAAACAAACAAAAAAACCCAAAGCAAAAAGGGATAAAACCAAAGACAGCTACTTGCTAGCAGGATAGTAGAGTGAAAACACTGGATCCAGCAACATTGACATAGGAAGTATCACAGGAGGCATTGATTCTTGTTAATTTGGGAATAGCTGCTACAGGATAGAAGGCCAGGCTTTTATTGTTCTTTGAGATAGGCTTCCTCACTCAAACACTTTTTATCTTGACAATCAGCTATGCTTCTCTATGAGGATGAACTGCATGGGAACCACTGACACCCTTGAGAAGCCCTGTGCTGACACCCTGGCCTTCAGATCTAAAGTGTCTTGTGGTGGAGAGCATAGATCCTCTCCTGAATCACAACAGATGACAAAATAGATCTCTGAGAGTGACTGCTCAAAGCAGGGCTCCTGGCAGTTTGAGCAGGGCAGATTTCCTCCCTGGATCAGGGAAATAGGTGCTGTGTCATACGAAATGTATGGAATTGGATTCTGTGGCTAGTACAGCAGCCCTTGGTGTTGTTTCGGAGCATGCCTGGAATGCAGATTGCCTTTGCACTGGGCTGGCTTGGGAGGTTCTATTGGCCCAGAAAGCAGGAGCTGGGCAAGTATGTCAAGAATGTCTGAGTGTGGCTGTGTTCAAAGTGCAGGTGCCCTGTCTTGTCACTTAGTGCTGAGCTTTACTTGTGCCAAGGCTTGCAGAAAAATGAAGGTCAAGTTTGCAGGCTCAGGTATTTGCATTGCAGGTAAGTAGGTTATCTTCTTAGATGACTATAGCTGACTACATCAGAACTGCCCGCCTCCAAAGCTGAAGTGACAAGGGAACTGAGCCAGAGAGGTGGATGGCTGTGGGTGGAGCAGACTGCATGCTGCTATGCTGCAAAAACATGATGCTGGGAAGAAGGCCCTGCTGGCTCCTGGGTGTCCTGCTCTCACCCATGTATACTGACATTCATTGAGAGCTGCATTTTTGTGTGTGTGTTCTTAGAATCATAGAATCATTTAGATTAGAAAAGACCTTTGAGATTATCGAGTCCAACATAGCACTGCTAAGTCCACCACTAAACCATGTCCCTAAGTACCACATCTACAAGTCTTTTAAATACTTCTAGGTATGATGACTCCACCACTTCCATGGGCAGCCTGTTCCGATGGTTGACAACACTTCCAGTGAAGAAATCTTGCCTAATAGCCAATCTAAACCTCCCCTGCCACAACTTGTCCTCTTGTCCTTTTGCTTGTTATGTGGGAGAAAAGACTGACACCTACCTCACTACAACCTCCTTTCACATAGTTGTAGACACCAATAAGGTCTGCTATGAGCCTCCTTTTGTCCAGGCTAAACAACCCCATTTCCCTCAGCCACTCCTCATGAGAGCTGTTCTCTAGAACAAGACATCAATTTGATGGATGGACCACTCA